TAATCTTTTATCAAGATGTATACATTTACATATATTTTCCAGCCCCAAATTCACATGTATATTGGTGGCTCTTTTCTACCTCTTCAGAGCCATTTTTCAGAGCTATCTGAGAGACTTGTCTCTTGGGCTACAGTCTTCAGTAATGTTCCCAAATAAAACTGAAACTCACTGCTTTTAAGTTGTGATTTTGGTTTTCTAATTTTTATTTTAAATTGATATTTCCTTGAGAGATGTTGTATGGTGGAAGGAAAAGTTCTGTGAACAAACAGGTTAGATAGTACCCCCGAACTTGGACAATCAAAGTGCATGCTAATATACTGAAGTTTCTGGGAAGTCTTTTGGTGATTAGAGCCATTTAACTTTAAGATGGCATTTTCCAAACAATTGATTGGACAATGGCTCCCTTTGTTTGGACAACTAATGTCTTTAGTGACTTGAAGAAGTAGTATTCTTTTGAATAGTGTTTGAGAAATTCTGATTTATAACATTAATTATTTTAAAAAGTTATAAAACTCATATATCACATGATTGTATAATCATGTTTTTACTTGAAGAAATTATCTATTTTTGAATTCATGTGTATTTTAAAATGTAATACCCTTACAGTGTTTTTCTTTTCTACTCCAGATATTTCTGATTTTTCATTTTTTTCTTTCTTGATGGCAGAGAACCCAGGACCTGTCTTGCTACAACAGTAAGCTTGTATGGTAATTACAAGAACTAATGATGGAAAATTCACCAGTGGGAATAATAAATGGCATTGTTATGCTGAGAACATTATTTCTATGAGAAAATATGAACTAAGAAAAAATGAATTATTAGGTAGAAAGGCCATTACTTTACATTATTATAGAGGTCATTATTATACATTATATTTACATTTTAAAAAATGGCACAGAAGAAAGAGTTGTAATCAGAAACAGTTTTATACATACAAACCTTAGAATCTTAGCATAGGAAGGGATGTTATCAGAGAAAATTTGATAGGATGTCATACCAACCGAAAAAATATGGAGACACTCATGGCTTTTCGTGGCTAATTCTTTACAGAGTCTGGAAAAGAACTATCCCAGTGTCACATTTCATAAGATTATAAAGCGTGCTGGAAATTATAAAGAGTTTAGGAACCTCAGAAGCAGTCTTCTTGGGCTTCCCTGGTGGCCCAGTGGTTAAGTATCCGCCTGGCAATGCAGGGGACACTGGTCGGATCTCCCGTCCAGGAAGCTCCCACATATCGTGGGACGGCTTGGCCCAAAGGCCACAGATGCTGAGCCTGCACTGCGGAGGCCCTGAGCCGCAGCGGCTGAGCCCACGTCCCAGGGCCTGCGCTCCCCCACGGGGGAAGCAACTGCAACGAGAAGTCTACACACAGCGGCTGGAGCGGCTCTACAGCTAGTGAAAGGGAAAGCGAAGTCGCTCAGTCGTCCGACTCCCTGAGACCCCACGGACTGTAGCCCGCTCCTCAGTCCATGGAATTTCTCAGGCAAGAATGCTGGAGTGGGTTGCCATTTCCTTCTCCAGGGGATCTTCCTGGCCCAGGGATCGAACCCAGGCCTCCCGCATTGCGGGCAGACACTTTACCCTCTGAGCCACCAGGGAAGCCCCCACAACGAGAGAACTAGAGAAAGTCTGGGCACAGCAACCAAGACCCAGCGTAGCCAAAAACATAAATAAAAAACAAACAAACAAAAAACCCCACAGAAAACCAACCTTCTTACCTCAAAGGCAGCCCAACTTCAAAAAAGTTAAGGATTAAAAAATATATATTACAAATAAATAGTTGCAAATCTGGAGATAAAGATATTCTGACTCTAGGTTTATGATTCATTCTACTAGCTAAAAAGTGATTTATAAATTATTCACACTGTTGTTTGTTGTTGTTTAGCCACTGTCATGTCTGAGTCTTTGCGACCCCATGGATTGTAGCCAGGCTCCTCTGTCCATGGGGTTTCCCAGGCAAGAACACCGGAGTGGGTTACCATTTCCTTCTCCAGGGGATCTTCCCGACCCAGGAATTGAACCTGCATTGGCGGGCAGATTCTTTACCACAGACCACCTGGAGCCCCCATAAACTATTCATTTGTGCGTATGCGCTCAGTGCTTCCGTCGCATCCTACTCTTTGCCACCCCGTGGACTGTAGGCCACCAGGGTCTTCGTCCACGGGATTCTCCAGGCGAGAATACTGGGGTGGGTCACCATGCCCTTCTCCAGGGGATCTTCCCCACCAGGGACTGAACCCAAATCTTCTGTGTCTCCTGCATTGCAGGCGGATGCTTTACTGCTGAGCCACCGGGAAAGCCTAAACTATTCATAGTTTTATACAAATATGAAATTATTACTGGAGTGACCTTAGAGCTGTATTATGAAACGGGATTATTCTCTAAGGGGGAAAAAACCTTCACTTCCCTATTTCCACCACTAGATAGCAGGCTGCTGAATAACACACAATACAGGATTTTAGAGGTCTAGAGTGTTTAGGGTCAATTGAAAGAATGGCAAGTTGCAAAGTCACAAGAGATAGGAAGTTATAAACAGCCTGGTGAATTGGGATTTACCCGACGAGAACGAGGCCATAACTTTCCCCCACTTTACTGCTAAAGCAGTGAGAGCCAGGTCTAACAACTCTTGAACCCTGAGATATAATTTACTTTGGTGATCTCCAATCTGTGCAATGGGTAGAAAATAAGAAACTGATTAAAAGTTTAAAGTTCAAAGGCTGATTGCACAGTGTATTTCTACATCACAGTGTAGCCAATTTGGGAGTCCTTTCTCTGAGTATAATGCAAAAAGCAGAAACAATAAAAGAAAACCTCAAAAGACTTCAACACGAATCTTTAAAATATCTATGTGTTGGGATTTCGCTGGTGGTGCAGAGGTTGAGAATTTGCTTTGCCATGCAGGGGATGCAGGTTCGATCCCTGGTTGGGGACTAAGGTCCAGTAGCAGCTAAGCTTGCAGACCACAACTGGAGAGTTCATGCATCACAACAAGAGATCCAGATGATGTAGCGAAGGCTCTGCATGCTGCAACTGAGACGATGCAGTCAAATCAATCGATCAATATTAAAAATAAATAGAGTGAAACATCTATTTTGAAAGACATCCCACCTCCACCACACAGTGAGACTAAATATTCAATGATAAAGGAATATTTAAATTGTGGAATATCTACATGATGTAATGCTGGTTAGTCATTAAAAATAATCGTTTAGATAATTCTTTACATGGGAAATAAAGATACTGATAGATGGAAAAAATGTTACATTATATCAATATATACCATAATATTTTTAGGGAATAATAATAAATAAAAATGAAAAATAATGACATTTATTTACGTCCATAAATCAAAGTTCTTTTTAAAGTTCAGCTTTCTTTTCGTGTTTTCAGAGGTGCTGCACTAAGCATGTATTATCTCTGAAATTGGAAGACAACAAAACTAAACATTTAACAGAAAGGTTGGTAAAGCAACTCCTTTACCCACTGAGCTCCTGCTGTCCAAGCCTTTCTCTTTCTTGCCCTGCCCTTTCTCTTTTTCTCTCTCCTTCTCCTGGTAGTGGTGGTGACTGCCTAATATCTGACGTCCCTGGAGGTGATGGCACTTGGGTGGTGTCTGTGAGTTCGCTGTTTAGGTGGTCAGTTTTGCCATTCATGTGTAATAGTACTGAATATAGTTATGATTCTTTGGTTTAAATTTTAATGACTTTTAGTTTTCAATGTCTAAAATGATATTTTCAAACTGGGGTTTATATACCACCTTGCATTGATTTGTTAAAAATGCAAATTCTTGGGCTTTTCCCCAGGCTCAATGAATCTGAAATTTTGGAAATAGTGTTCTGGAATTTTCATTTTTAACTAGCTCCTTGAGTTATTTTTTGTGTATTGAAATTTGCGAACTGTTGGTAATGGTTGGGATCAAGTGTGAAAGAACAAGAGTGAAAATACCAAACTAGGGAACACTTTTAAAGTCTGAATATTTATCAGACGTCTAATCTGAGCTATTTTTTCCAACAGATGCTTATATATTCAATATTTTTAAAGGCACAAACATATAGTGACCAACTAACGATCATCACTTTAATAACCTAAGTGCTTCCCCACCGGTCATAAAAAATTTGCTACTCCGTAAAAGCACCCAGCATACAGGTGGAAACTGCAGTAAACAAACCAAGAAGCAATGTCTTAAAAAAGCAAAATAAACAAAGCAGCATTTCAGAAACACACTTCCCATAGTGGAGGAATAAGTCTGGATTTAGGCATTCTCTGTTATTCCTGAAGTCCAATGGCACCTGATGAATTTGAATTTGAATGCCAGAGGCGCTGACGGCAGGGTGGAGAGCTCAGGTCTTGAACGCTTTCACAGCTGGTTTCAGCTTGACCGTGGGCTCCTCTCGGTAGTAACCTTGTGTCCTACGTTGTGAGACTAACGTTTGCAAGGAAACGGGGACCTCCGATTTCAATCCGCAGCGGGTTTCCACAAAATGCTGCAGAGAGAAAATTAGTCACAGACTAACAGTTGGAGGGAAAAGCACTGCCAGGGATACAGTGACGGTGTCCAAGGACGAGAAAGCTATTTCTCTCTCGAGAGAGGCTTATGTGGGAATAACAGATATCAGAGAAGTATCACGTTGTGGAAATGCCTTGAAAGCACAAGTCAATAAATAACCAAGGTTCTGCTCCCTGTTGACTTTTCTGTAGAGTCTTGTTTGAATTAAATATTGCAGCGGGGAAATCCAGAGCATGTTTCAGTAAACAGTTAAGACATTTTGATTTATTCAAGTTAGGAATCAGTCTCTAGGTCACTGGTTTTTGAAATGTTTATGAAAACTGCGCAAACTGTCTTGGAATAAACGTTTTGATTTGCGGGCTTTCCCTGGTGGCTCAGTGGTGGGGAATCTGCCCACCAAAGCGGGAGACATGCATTCGACCCCTGGTGCGGGGGGATCCCACGTGCTGCGGGGATCCCACGTGCTGCGGGGAGGCAAGCCCCACGGCGGCAACTACCGAGCCTGCGCTCTAGGAGCCCAGGAACCGCAACGACTGAGCCCACGCGCCCCGAGATGGTGCTTCACGAGGGAAGACTCTGCGATCACAGGCTTGGCCCCGCGGCCGGACAGGCGCCTCCGCGCGCCGCAGCTAGAGAAAAGCCCGCTCTGCAACGAAGCGAAATAAATGCACATTAAAAACAACAACAACAACAAGTTTTGAGCTTTGCTTGTTAAAAAGCTCATTTCAAAGCAGTTTAGCTGTTGAGATATGGCTTTCTTTTCATACTAATTGTCTTGATACTTGATTACCTGCTGCAGCCGTGAGAACCGCACCTTGAGAACGTCCTACTGGAGGGAACTGATTGACGGATGACCAGACCAACCGCGCGTTTCCGGACAGGCAGCCTCTCTGGGCCCCGGCGTGGGAGGCGTGCTCGGAGACACTTGGTCCTGAGAGTCAGCGGATGCTTCTCCCGCCGACTTTGTTGTTTGAAAGCAGCTAAATTTGGAAATGTGTTGTGAAACAAGAGATAGCTAACACAATCCCTTAAAACCATTTCTTTAGGCTAGCTTTTAGTGAACTATGTAATTATTATGGGGCTTCCCTTGTGGCTCAGATGGTAAAGAGTCTGCCTGCAATGAGACCGGGTTCGATCCCTGGGTCAGGAAGATCCCCTGGAGGAGGAAATGGCAGCCCACCTCAGTACTACCTTGCCTGGAAAACCCCATGGATGGAGGAGCCTGGTGGGCTACAGGCCATGGGGTCGCAAGAGTTGGCCACGACTGACCAACTTCACTTAGCCAAAAGCGGCTAAATTTGGAGCTAACTAACACAATCCCTTAAAACCATTTATTTTCATGTCAATGTATGGCAAAAACCGCTGCAATATTGTAAAGTAATTAGCCTCCAACTAATAAAAATAAATGGAAAAGAAAATACATTACAATAGTGATATTTATTGAGCATTTATAATGTTCTAGGTAATTGTTCTAAGTGCTTTACATGAGTGAAGTTATTCACAGCAACCTTACGACATTTGTGATGTTATCATTTCAAATTCATGCATAAAGGTGGGGGAATATGTAAGGTACAGTTCCGGCGAGGCAGAAAAGGAAAGACGACCTCAACAGAAGTAGCTTACCTTTATTCAGGCAAGGAGGGGCAACAGTCGGCCTAACGACCAGGCTGAGCGCCGAAAGGGATCAGGGAGGCTTCATTCTTATAGGGAGGTTTGTGGAAGCGAAGAGGGAAACATCAATCAGGTGGGATTTGAGTATTCCTCTGTTGAGATGACACTTGCAGCTGGGCAGGGGGCGATAAGTCTTCTGGGCGGGTGGAGGAGGCGGTAGGTTTCCGGACAGGGGGAGATAAGTCCCAGATAGATGCAGCTGGCCTGGAGCATCAGGATGGAACTGAAGTTATGCTTTGTTCTCTCCGAACTTAGATGATTCAGCAAGGGGCCTTTGAGACTGTTGTTCTCTTCTCTAGGCCCAAAAGACTCCTTCAGAATAGACAGGCTCGGTAAGTTTCCTAAGGTCGCAGCGTGGAGGAGTGGTGTTAACAGGACTTGAACTTGGAAGTCTACTTTCAGAGCCAAGCTTTGCTGAAGTGGCATCAAGCTGTCATCTGGGGCTGAAGTCATCTCAAGGCTCAGCTGGGGACGGGGAATCTGTTCCCCGGTCTGTCACACAGTTGTCAGCAGGCCCTGGCTCCTTGCTGTTTGATTTTTGGCTGGAGGCTTCCTTCCACACCACAGGAACTTATCTCATTAGTGAGTTTACAAATGAGATCACACAATATAGTGTTTCTTTTTAATCTTTTTTCCCACCCCCAAATATTAATATATTGTAAATTTTTTCCCCTGTAACTAAACTTATTTTTAATAATAATTTTTAAAGGGTTTGGATACAATTTATCAACTTAAAAATGCAGAATTGTTTTGGGCAAATCATTTAAAATATTATGGAAAACCTGACTTTATCTTCTTTGATTTATGCACTAAAACTTCTCACAGTTGGCTGTTGGCTTCTTTGATTCATTGCTATTAAAAAAAAATTTTTTTGTGTGTTTTTATTTGACAACAGAGATCTTACCAGCAATTTATTGCTGTATGTTAATGTTTATCTTCTTTTTGTAATTATTGAAATTCTACAAAAATGAAATACTCTTTTCCAGTGCTAAATGTAGAGCTATGCAAATTAACAGGAATGACTCACTACTATAGTGGAGGCAAAATATTTAAGGTAATTAAAAATTTCTTGCTGACTTGTCTGAATTATTATGATTTTGTGTGTGTGTGTGTGTGTGTGTGTGTGTGTGTGTGCTGTGATAATGAAAAATAGTCTGCCAGGGGTAACAGGAACGTTCTTCTCATCTCTAAATTTCACAGAAAGGCATCCTACTTAATGGTTCTTTATTACTAGTTTTATGGAAAGAAAGCTCAGAGAGGAGTTTTGCACTGTTGGCTCCACGCTTCACTGTGTATGGGAAATTGACTTAAAAGAGCCCCATCCTAGTCCTCATTACAAACACAGACCCTGCACCTTGGGAAACTGGAAGTCAAGAAGATAAACACCTTCAAATTGATGTTTCAGGCATGAGTTCATTCTAGAGAAAATTAATCCCAATAGGGGGGCTCTAAAAAGAAGGAAAAGTTGAAAAACAACAAAACTGCAGCTATCCAAAAAAAAAAAAAAAACCCATCCCAAATGCAGCAAATTCCTCATTTTTATCTGTTAAATATGTCATTTGATTATATCTTTTTATCCTAAATCTAAAGAGGAGGTTATTGAATTGTAGGACTTCCCAGTGCGTCATTTTTTGTGACACCCCTAATTTCTTGTGCTGCTCTCTTTCCTTTAGTGAAGTATACTAAATACTGACAATAGAAGAGAATACAAAAATTTGTATTTTTTGTGTGTGTTTTTTACCAATATTGTTCATGTAAGAGAGAAATGAATTTTCCCTAAATGATAGTCTAAGTTTTAATGAGCTTTTAATTTGGCGTAATTCCACATATCCTTTCAATGGCTTCCCATGTGTCTCAATGGTAAAGAATCTGCCTGCCAATGCAAGAGATGCAGGAGACACAGTCAATCCCTGGGTAGGGAAGATCTCCTGGAGTAGGAAATAGCAACCCACTCCAGTATTCCTGCCTGAAAAATCCCATGGACAGAGGAACCTGTTGGGCTACAGTCCACTGGGTTGCAAAGAGTCAGACAAGCACTTTCTCTTAAATCCTTTCAGTGCAATATTCCTTAGGGATTGGTTTCTAATTTGTTGAGTGTATCTTTCACACATCAAGGTACTTAGTTGAGAATCTCTGTTGCCTAGGATTCCCTGTGCCCTTCTAACCCTACTTTTTGAAAACTGGGTGTAGGAGAGAACCCAGCACTGAGTGATTGGTGCAATGTATTACCTATTGTTTTGAATGTCATAACCAACTATTCAATGAGAATTTGTGACTTGGGGGTAACGAGTGGGAGTTGAGGATGAGGTTGGATTTTTTTTCTTTAGAAACTGCAGTTTCAATTTATTTCATCCTCTTCAGAAAACACCACTGGAGCAAACTTTAGCACCAGAACCAGATGTTAGTTAAACACCATCGTCCTTCTTCAACTGGTGTGAGTCTCACAGGAAGCCGTTTATAAGCACTAAACTCAAGAACATAAAAAGAAAATTTCATTTAAAACGAGCCTTACGTCTAAAACTTAACTTCAACAGCTGTCTTACTTCAATTAGGATAAAATATATAATTTAAATAACTATAAATAGTTAATTAATGTGTAAAGAGCATGTGATCCCAAACAATGTTTGCATGGTTTCGAAAACAATGAAGCAATTATGACAACAAAGAGAAATACACACAGGGGACACTGCCGGAGGATGCTATTCTACACAATACCGGTACTTTCCGAGGGGTTAGATAGGCTACAAGAACACGCTGATGATGTGTGCTTAACATTTTGCATTTCAAAGCTTGGTGAAAACCCATAAAAGTTTTGACTACGTAAGTAGTTAAATTTTGTCTCCAAGCACGGAATTTATGTTTTCAACAACACTTGCAGTTATTAACAATAGTTGGTGCTTTCCAAAAGAGAACTGATCAGTGGTTTCTAATTTACCATTTTCATTTTGAAAGGGCTTAAAAGCCAGAGATAGTATTAGCCAATTTTTAAGGAAAGTTCAGGCTTAGCGGTAGGCTCTTGATGAAGCTCTCACCGCAGGGCGGCCAGCTCCAAGGACAGAACTCCTCTGGGAGCTGCGGGAGGCTGTCCTGGCGGCCCGGCCCGGATTTAGGAGGGCGTTTCCCGTGCCCTGGGCCACCGCTCGCATCCTCAGCTCACAGCTCTGGGCTCCCTCCTTGAGCTCGCTCCCTCCTCTGAGCTTCCTCCTTGAGCAGCCTCTAAAGGCTTTATTTCTCTCCATCAGCGCCCCTTCTTCTCTTTCTCATTCCGCGTCCTTTGGTCTTTGGCCTATTCTGCCAATTCATTCAAAAGCCTGAAATGCAAAAGCACAAATTCTTTCCTGGCTAACCATCAACCTTCTCTCTTTGTCCCCCAGTACTTGGGGAATCCTGCGGGTTCTTTTTCATGAAAAGTCTGTTTATCTGGCACTTAAGCTCCCTCTGCAAGATGGACTCATTTTCTCTAAGCTACACCCCAAGTCAATTTTATAATTTCCTTCAAAATACAGTTAGTTCTTTCGGGCAAATCCAGGACTAACTGACCCATCACATATGTTCCCTGTTAAGACGGACTGTGTTGTCTGAAAGCGCTCAGTCCTGTCTGACTCTTTTGTGATCCCATGGACTGTAGCCCCCAGGCTCCTCTGTCCATGGGGTTTTCCAGGCAAGCATACTGGAGTGGGTTGCCATTTCCTTCTCCAGGGGACCTTTGCAGCCCAGGGACTGAACCCACGTCCTGCTTGGCAGGCAGATTCTTTACCACTGAGCCTCCTGGGAAGCCCAAGGTTAACTGAAATTAGAAAAGAAATGACCACTGAAAGGGCACTAAACTGGGAGACTTGGCCTCCAGCTCTGGCTCTATAACCTGTGAGGGGTGTCTTATCTTCACTGAATTTCACTTCCTGCACATCATTTATATAAACATTATCAATATAAATCATATAAAATCAATATATTGATATATAACCCAAACTTTAATATCATTTATTAAAATGTTTATATGCAAACACATAAAAACAATTATGAATGTAAGAATGAAATAGACAAAACAGAAGATTAAATATTATATAAGAACAATTATAACACAATTATATTAATTAATATTCTGTATAATTATTAACATCTGAGCCTCGTAGCTCAGTCAGTTAAGAATCTGCCTGCAATTCAGGAGACCCTGGTTCGATCCCTGGGTCAGGAAGATCCCCTGGAGAAGGAAATGGCAACCCACTCCAGTATTCTTGCCTGGAAAATCTCATGGACAGAGGAGCCTGGGGGGTTACAGTCCAAGGGGGTTGCAAGAGTCAGACATGACTTAGCAACTAAACCACCACATAATTATTAATACAATTCCCCCCCATAGATTTTATCCTTGTGTTTGCATAGTGTATCACACTTAGTTCTGGACATCTGGTTTTGCCCAGAGTGTTTGCGTCTCACATGCATCACTGGGAGAGTGTAGCTCATGTCTCTTCTGGCTGTAGGAGCTAGCAGAGTGTCAGACACGGACTAGAGTGTGCAACTAAAGCAAAAGAGTACAGTGATGTTTTATACTTTAAATATTACAAGCTCTTAGAGCTTAATATATTTAAAGTTCATATCATCTTTATATGAGTGAGCTCTGCTTTGGAGACAGGAAAAGTCCTTTAGAGGGAAGCTATACTTTATAGATATAACTTCGTATGTTCATGTCCCCATTTCACAGACCAGAAAACTGAGGCGCCTACCTTCTCCTCCACTTTGCTCTTACCATCTCTAAATCTACTAGGGTTAGTGGTCAGCGAGGATCAAGGCAGCCTGACGTCAGCAAGGCCTTCTTCCCAGCAAGGACTCCGGGGCCGGCGCTCTGTCCCACCTGCCTTGCGGTTCCGGCCCTAAGTGGGTGGCCGCTCCCTGAGAAGCCAGGCCCCGCTCCGTGTCTCGGCCCTGGATTGTAGCGCCCGCAGGAAGGTGCGCGTACCAGGGCGCCTGCAGCAGCCTGGGTGCAGTGAGAGGGTCACGGCCAAGGCCACTCTGGAGGACCCCGAGCCAAGGCCCCGCGCAGGGTGCAAGCTGCCTGCTTCTGCGCCCAGTCCGAGCGCCGGGGCCGCAGCAGGCAGAGCGCAGCAGGCAGAGCGCAGCAGGCAGCGCCGGGGGAGCGGCAGCGCTGGGGGAGAGGCAGCGCTGGAGCGGGGCTGAGCACCGTGACCCGCGGCCCACGGCCTTGCCCTTCCCCTAGACTTGCCAGGACCCTAGTGAAAGTCGCTCGGTCGTGTCCGATTCTCTGCGACCCCATGGACTATCCAGTCCATGGGATTCTCCAGGCCAGAATACTGCAGTGGGTAGCCCTTCCCTTCTGCAGGTGATCTTCCCAACCCAGGGATCGAACCGAGGTCTCCTGCATCGCGGGTGGATACTCTACCAGACGAGACGCAAGGGAAGGCAGGAGCCTAAGGTCTTCTGATGAAAGGCCCCTGACCTCCCTAAAATCTCGGCCGCTTTGAGATGTAGATGTTCTACAGCCCGGGAATGTCTTTCTCCAGGACTTGGGCCATCCTTTCTTCTGAAATACAGTCATCAGGAAAGAGCCCGGCCTTGTCTACCAATCTCGATGGGAGTCCGGGATCTAGCTCCCAGGTACCCCTCCGCCATGGCCTCTGCTACTGATAATTTCCTACAAGCTCGCTCCAGCCTTACACTCTCCTGCCATGTGTTTCCACAGCTGAACTCATCCGTTCTTTCCCAGCACAGCAGTTTTGATCCCTATTGCAGTAGTCTGGAATAAAATCTTCTCTGCTCTTTTGGCCAGTGTCTCCTCGAAAAGAGTGGGAGGGCAAGGAGAGGGAAAGTTACAGACTGAAAGGACGGAGGAAATGCAAGGAGGACAGGGAGGGAATCCCTGATTTCAGAGTCCAGGGCCAGGAGGATGGTCTCCACCCTCGCAGTGCCGGCTAGGGGTGGGGCGTAGGGGCATTTGGATGGGGTGGTGGTGTTCACTGGCACAGTCGTCCGACTCCGTGTCCCCATGGACTGCAGCATGCCAGGCTTCCCTGTCCTTCACCATCTCCTGGAGCTTGCTCAAACTCATGTCCATTGAGTTGAGTCAGTGATGCCATCCAACCATCTCATCCTCTGCCGTCCCCTTCTCCTCCTGCATTCAGTCTTTCCCAGCATCAGGGTCTTTTCTAATGAGTGAGCTCTTCGAATCAGGTGGTCAAAATATTGGAGTTTCAGCTTGAGCATCAATGAATGTTGATGTCCTTTCAATGAATATTCAGGATTTATTTGCTTTAGGATGGACTGGTTGGATCTCCTTGCAGTCCAAGGGACTCTCAAGAGTCTTCTCCAACACCACAGTTCAAAAGCATCAATTCTTCAGTGCTCAGCTTTCTTTATGGTCCAACTCTCACACCCATACCTGACTAATAGAAAAACCATAGCCTTGACTAGATGGACCTTTGTTGGCAAAGTAATGTCTCTGCTTTTTAATATGCTATCTAGGTTGGTCATACCTTTTCTTCCAAGAAGTGTCTTTTCATTTCATGGCTGCAGTCACCATCCGCAGTGGCAGCGAGGAGTACCTTGCTTTGGATACACTGGGGCTGGGGTGTGAAGGATCTTCTGTTATGTTCTATTAGAGTAATAAAAACAGGGCTTTGACTCAACTAGGCTTGAGATCCACTCCTGTCTTTTCTATTGTGCGTCTTTGGGAATGTTCCTTAGCCTTTCTCCTTGTTCAGTTTCCACTCTGTAAAATGGGATTAATAACAAATAACCTGCCTCATAAGAATGGACTGTAATAAAGGCAGGACACCAAAGTATTGGTTCCTTTGAACTGTGGTGCTAGAAAAGACTCCTGAAAGTCCCTTGAACAGCAAAGACATCAAAGCAGTCAATCTTAATGGAAAACAACTCTGAATACTTGTTGGAAGGACTGATTCTAAACCTGAAGCTCCACTATTTTGGTCATCTGAGGTGTGGTTTTTCCAGTGGTCATGTATGGATGTGAGAGTTGGACTGTGAAGAAAGCTGAGCACTGAAAAATTGATGCTTTTGAACTATGGTGTTGGAGAAGACTTGAGAGTCCCTTGGACTGCAAGGAGATCCAACCAGTCCATCCTAGAGGAGATCAGTCCTGAATATTCATTGGAAGGACTGATGCTGAAGCTGAAACTCCAGTACTTTGGCCACCTCATGTAAAGAGCTGACTCATTGGAAAAGACCCTGATGCTGGGAGGGATTGGGGGCAGGAGGAGAAGAGGCTGACAGAGGATGAGATGGCTGGATGGCATCACTGACTTGATGGACATGAGTTTGGGTAAACTCCAGGAATTGGTGATGGACAGGGAGGCCTGGCGTGCTGTGATTCACAGGATTGCAAAGAGGCGGACACGATGGAGCAACTGAACTGACTGACTGACTAAGGTGAACAGCCAACTCATTGGAGAAGTCCCTGATGCCGGGAAAGATTGAGGGCAGAGGGTATCAGAGGATGAAACGGCTGGACAGCATCACCGACTCAATGGACATGAACTTGAGCAAGCTCCAGGAGATGGTGATGGACAGGGAGGCCTGGCGTGCTGCAGTCCACGGGGTCACAAAGAGTTGGGCTCGACTGAGCGACTGAACTGAACTGAAGGGAGACATAAGATGTAACTGACATGTAAGTAATAAGCAAGGAAGGCCAGCCAGTTGGTTGGCCTGAGAAGGAGTTTCCTGAGCGCCCCGGGTTGGCCAAGTGGAGGAAGGTCGTCACAGAATCCTCTCCATTCGGCAGCATTTGGTGGGACACAGGTGTGGACGGCCCAACTGGATTCTAGCCCTGGGGTTATTTGGTCGCTTCTTCACAGTATTTTGACCAGAGTCTATGCAGAGCCATTTCCTGCCCTCCATGGGAAGTTCTGGAACAAAGATGACTTAATGATTAGTCTAGTATCCACTAAGCCTAGAGAGGAACTAAGTTGGCTGTTGCAACTGAACTCTAATCAAAAGGGACATGGGATCTTGCCAAGCCTGAAATGGTTGGGTGACATCTCTGGTCATCTGTAGCCAGGGGGGCTCTGGTCTAGTCTTTATCTACCCTTGTAACTCAGCTCCTTCCAGTATGAAAGGGTCATAAAAGGAGAGGATCTCAACACTGGAAGGACTTTAGAGACTAACTCAAGGCTCTTCT